CATTATCCCCAGAAGGCAAATTAACCTTTGTGAAATTCACCATCTCCTCAACACATCCACCTCGTAGCATTCACGGGGTATCACGGTGAAGAAAGGGTGTATTGTATTCAAAATGCACCTGGGTGGCTGCAGACTGGCCCAGAATCTCGTTCAGCTGCCGGCGAGCCACTATGAGCCGCCCGACTGCTCTCCCAGTCATCCTCCCAGCCGTCCTCGCAATCTTCACCATGTCGCTGGGCTCTGAACAAAAGCGAAGAAACCATGGTCAGACCGAAATATCACTTCCAAAACGTGCCGATCCCGGGAATCATCTTCCCATCGGTCGACGCCACCGACAGCCGCCGCCGCACGGCCGGAGCGGAAGCAGGGCGCGGTGGCGCGGAGAGGTGGGTTACTCACTCATCATGACGGAGCAGGCCCCGAGGATGACCAGCAGCTGGCCGGTCGAGAACCCCAGCATCTTCGCACGGACAAGCGGCTGCTGCCCGCGCGGGGGCGGTGGGGGGATCCACGCGGCCGTTCCCGCGCACGCGCACGATGGGCGGCGGCCGGCGGCGGTGTGTGAGACGGTGATGGGGAGAGGAGAGAGAGAGATGGCGTGGAGAAGTAAGTGGGCCGGGCCTTGGCTAGTTGAGGCTGGAAATGGTTGAGCTGCGGAGTGGGCTCTCTGATGGGAAAGAGCCCAGGATTGCAGAGTCCAAGTCAACAATCTGCTGGAGTGCTGGATGCCAGTGGTCACACATGTCAGTAATCCTTGGAACAAAGGTGCTAAACAAAATTCAAAAGCCAAAGAAGTTCCACCATATAGATTCTAGAGGGAGCTGATTTTCTTTGGTCCTGTTTGGCAGACATTTTTTTTTGCTCAGACTCCTTCGGAGGGAGTCAGAGCCAATGAAGCCAGAAATACTAGTTTCGTCATGAAATGGTGGTTTTTATGGGCTCTTAGTTCATTTCTGGAATAGAGGGAAAATTGGTCCCTTACTACGTTGCAGAATATTCCTTAGAAACTGAAACTGTTTTGTGAGGAAAAGCTTCCACAATAAGGCATTCTAGAAGGAGTTGTTGATCAGCTGTCACAGGACACTTCAAGGCAAATGTGGAACGCACCAACACACGATTACAGGACCCATTTCTTTATATTTACTACCTTCGTCCCAAAAGAATGCAACCATGAGTTACGTGTTACGTAAAGTGGTTCACGTTTAACCAAATTGGTTTCTAATGCATGGTATTCACATTTATGGCTCTAAATTAATTTATTATGAAAATGCATTTCATAATTAATCTAATACGGAGTAATATTTATTTGTCATCATAAATGTTGATACTTTTTTTATCTATAATTGGTCAAATTCAATATAATAAAATATGACACTGTGTTAGAATTGTATTTTTTTCTGGGGGACAGAGCGAGCAGTATACTGCTAATAACTTTGAACGATTCATGCTGACACATCGCTAATGTGCACATGGTCATTGTCTGCTTGCAACAATTTCTCTTCTAGCTGGCTGACTGATACACTAGACTTGGAATCATGAGTAAACTGTGCCAAAGACCATGGAATGGAACCCAGTTCTTACGACACGCCCTAGGTCATGTTCGCTTCTGAAAAATATTTATTTTTCAATGGAACCCAGTTTTCTCTCAACAAATCAGACAGACAGCCCAAACTTTGTTTTTTCACTATAAAAAATGAGTGCCATTTGCACCTTCAACACAGCAAACCACCACTACTGCTAGTATAATCAGAGATTCAGAATTTTATTTCCTGTCGCCATACCCATACCTGTGTCCTTCTTCCTCCTTTTTTGACATGGAGCGTGCATCCTTGGCGGGTGGCGCCATGGCGTCCCTCGCCCTGAAGCTCAACTCCATCCTCAAGCCCAAGTACGAGCTCATGGCGGGCGCGAGGACCGACGTCCTCTTCCTCCGCGCAGAGCTCGAGAGCATGCACGCCTTCCTCGAGAAGCTCTCCGGGGTGCGTGACCCGGACGCCCAGGCCAAGACCTGGACCAAGGAAGTGAGGGAGCTGGCCTACGACATCGAGGACACCATGGATGAGTTCATGCACCGTGTCCATGCCCACGGTGCTAGCACAGGCACCGCTAACTGTGGGTCAAGTGGAGGCGTTCTAAGGTTCACTGGACGCGTTACGTGGCTTGTGAGCACAGTGTGGACGCACCTCCGCCTCGCCAACGAGCTCAAGGGCCTCAAGGCCCGCACCATTGAGGTGAGCAAGCGGCGATCGAGGTACAGATTTGGTGAGGACATCTGGGTTTCTAGGGACCACATCGTTGTTGATCCTCGGATCAGCGTCCTCTATGCTGATGTGCCAGATCTGGTTGGCATTGATAGCTCGCTGACTAACATCGTTGACTGGTTGATGGATGGGACCACCGGTCTCAAGGTGCTCTCCATCGTTGGCTTTGGTGGTCTAGGCAAGACAACTCTTTTGCCATGGAAGTGTTCCGAAGATTGGAAGGCAGTTCAGCTGTCGAGCTTCTGCTGCTGTGTCACAGAAGCTTGATGCGAAGAAGCTCTTGAAGGACTTGCTCTCGCAGGTGGCTCAAGAAGAGGTTGACCGCATGGACACGTGGGAGGAGAGTCAACTTATCCGCAAGCTGAGGGAGCGCTTGTTAAATAAAATGTAACCGAGGTCGACCTACCAACAATTTCTCTTACCAATATGCTTTTGGGTTAATAAGTAGTCAGGATTAAGTCAGAGAGTGCCTATGACTAGACCTGAGCAACCTGAGCTTGGCCAAAACCCCTGAGTTTGGCCCGAGCCCCTGAGTTTGGCTTTGGCATCAGCCCACTGACCTTATTGGATAGGGCCTAGCTAGAGGTTTTTTTTTTCCCGCTGATCAGAAAAAAATTCGATAATTTATTTTTAAAAACTGCAAACTCAGCCCATAACCTTACCCACCAAGGCCTAAACCATTTATTTTAAACAACCTCACATGTAACCCATCGAGGCCTAAACCCAACCCGAAATGCGAGGCCCGAACCTATCCATTGGGTGGACCTAGGCATGGATTTTTGTCCGAAACTAGCCGGCCTTTTTGTAGGCCCTACCTAGCCCGACTTGCTTAGATGTACCTATGGCATGCCATGTTATAAAGACATGATCTCAGGATCTATAGCTCACAATGCACAACATAATTGTGATGACAAAATATATGAACTTATCCAATTATCTTTACCTTCCCCCAATCCTCTTGCTCTCTCATCCTATATATCTCGATTTTTGCGAATCCGTCCCAATAGATTTCGTATAGTTTCTCAAACTCTAATAGTTGATAGAAAACATTATCTTGCACAAGACCTAGGGCATGTTTGGATGTGATTTTAAAATCCAGATTTTAAATAAAAATAACCTCTAATGTTTCTTGGATTTTGTGCATTTGTGTGAATTCTCTAGAATCCAAGAGTGTTTCTAAGATTTTGAGATTTTTAAAATCCCTATGGATCCAAACGCTACCCTAGTTTTTTCCTTTCTCCTCTTTTTCTTTTGAAATTGAGAGAATAGTTTTTGGCCTCACACAGCTCGGTTTTTGTTATAACGTTTTTAGCTATCCAAATACGATGATGGAAAACCAAAAAGTACAAGAGCTGCCTATGCTATCTCAATGAAAAGATAATTGTGGCTCATTTCAAGTTCTATATAAAGTCTCAATTTGAGATGACTTTTGTGTGAACTGGTCGTACCATCAAACTACTTTTCTTTGAATTATTAAGACCCTAATTTCTCTACAATATTGCTATATAACCTGGAACTAATGGACTAAACAAGCTGAACTATCTGCAGAATCTGGGTGCCTTTGAATCAAAATCTGAACATTATATCTATTTTTTCTCGAACATATATGAAAAAAGACCATGTGATTCAAGGCACCAATATTCCATTAAACAAAATGAGGAAAAAAGATAAAATCCTGGAAGTTTTCTAACTATTTTAGAGAAGAACAAGATCCACACCCTTATTTTCATGGGGGAAACACAATTATGCAAAAAATATATAATACTTTGTGTTTGTTAATACTAAACCTGATGACGATGGATAGCTCCCATGGTAACATTTCTATGCTTTTCCAGGGCCTTTGATTGTACCCTTAATTGTATGAACTTGTATCATGTTAGGACACTAACCTCATTTGTACAAGCTACCCTCATACCTCCTTTATCTGAGTTTAGAGTCCTGCGAGTGTTAAATCTCGAGGGATACCAAGGATTCAGCGAAAATTATCTGAAAGAGGTCATCAATTTGTTTCATTTGAAGTATTTGAACCTCCGGAGGACATGGATTTCTAATCTCCATAGTTCCACTAGGCGCTCGCCTAGGCGCGACTAGGCTCTAGTCGGAGGGTGTCCGCCTTGCCTATGGGGGTAGGCGGACCCCTCGGTGGCGGCGGCTCGTCGGCGGCGGCGGTGGTGGTGGAGGAGCGCCTGGCAGAGGTCGTCGGTGGGGGAGGAGGAGCTGCGAGCGGCGGCGGGTGATTGCGCGGGCGGCGGGCGCTCGCGCGGGCTTGCGCGGGCGGCAGGCGCGGGCGGCGGCAGTGTGGGAGGAGGCGTGGATAAGGTGCGCTGGGCCGTTTTTAACGGTGGATAAGGTGGGTTGGGCCGTTTTTATGGGCCTTTCTTCTCTTTTCTCCCTGTTCCATGACCATTGGTCTTCTATTTTTTCTTTTCTTTTAAGTACTTAAGTATGTATTAATAAATTTAAGCATGTATTGGAAAACGCCTAGGAACGCCTAGGCGCGATTAATCCCGCCTAGGCGCTAGGCTGAGGGTCAGCACCTAGATTCCGCCCAGCGCCTAGCTGAACTTTGCTAATCTCCCACCACAAATAGGAGACCTGAAAACTTTGGAAACACTAGACATAAGAGATACAAATATAGAAGAGTTACCTGGAACAATAACTGGTCTTCGCCAACTCAAGTATATACTCAGTGGTGGCCATACATGGGGAAAAGTAAAGCTACCAGATGGTATAGGGAGCATGGCATCCCTAAGAGCCATACTAGGTTTCGACATTTGTCGCAGTTCAGCATGTGCAGTACAAGAACTTGGTAATCTGCAAAGTTTGAAGGAGGTTGCAATCAACTGGACAAATTTTACTTCTGGAAATGTGAAGCACCAAAAGGCTTTGATGAGAACTTTAGGGAAACTGGGCACAAGAAACCTTCAATCCTTTGCAATCTGCAGTCGCAACTTAGGTTCCCTTGAGTTTCTGGATTCTTGGTCGCCAGCACCCAATAGCCTTCAAAAGTTCAGACTATCAGCATATTACTTCCTCCCAAGAGTACCAAGGTGGATGGCACCACTCTGCAACCTCATTGATTTAAACATTAACATTGCAGAACTAGCATATGAAGACATATTAATACTCAGAGAGTTGCCTTCCCTACTTCGTCTTGACTTATGGTTGAAATCACCTCAGAAAGATGATACAATTGTCATTCATGGAGTAGGATTCCCATACTTGAAAGAGCTCTTCTTCAGCTGTCAAGAAACTTGCTTGCTATTCGAACCAGCATCATTCCCGAAGCTCGAGAGGCTACACACAACAATCCATGTAATCAGAGCAAAGCCATACAGTCACACATTTGGCATTGAACACCTTAAATCTCTCAAGCAAATCAGCGTCCAAGTTTTCTGTTATGGCGCAAATGCATCTGATATCAAGGATGTTGATCATGCAATTTCTACTGCTGTGAATTACAATCCTAACCATCCTAGGATGAACATCGAAAAACGTGGCATGGATTTGAAATTAGAGGAGAGAAACAAGAGAGAACATTCCAAAGACAAGAATCTGGAAAAACCTCCAAGCAAAGAAGATATTGGTCATACAGACAAGAAGAGAAGGAAATTACATATTGAAGAACATCATTCGGCAAGTGCAACATGATTCCTCTGCAATTGTAACTTCAACAACAAAAGATAGAATCAAGGCAGGCTGATATATTTACACTAGGACCTTTTTTTATTAAGAGTGTAGCAAGTTATAGCCTGGAATTAGCAAAGCTCCTGATGGGTCACAACTGGAAAAATAACAAAAAAGGAGTCATTCACTTATGGTTGATGACAACGGTCACCAAACAGATAAACATGCATCTGTCTTCTTTACAGAAATGTACAGTAACATGCGCAGATTACAAATGGCATGAACACAATCATGCAGCCCAATATTGGAACCTACAGGCAACAACAGACAGCTATGTACAAAGACATTGATCACATCTTTCAAAATAAGGTTGCAACACACCAAACCATTAATCGCTACCAATTTTCCTTAACAATCTTTGCTTTCTCAAATATGAACTTCCCTTCCTTGTATCTCTGCGACTCCTCATAAGCCCTCTCATATTTCCACCCTAGCACCTCACGGCAGTCACGGCAGTAGATATCAGCAACGGTGTGAAGGCCTGTCATGAGATGCCTATCCTCCTTAGGCCCCACAGCTATGTTCATGGCATGAGAAAACAGAAATGCACGGCCATTCCGTCCCTAGAACAGTCAGTAGAGCAAGGGAGAGACAACATCATCCTTCAAAGACAATTAGACAAACCAAAAAAAAATCAAACTACAGCTTGTTCTTCTCTACTCTGCAGAGAGACGAATTCAGGTCTCACTAGGAAATGCAGCAACCAATGAAAATCTGTTCAAACTGATGAAATAAGAATGCAGCAAGTAAACAGGCTTTCTTAGGTTGCTGCTAAGCTTCTTCAATTCTACTGCAGCCAAACTACTAGTGTAATAGTGTTGTCATGAATAGACTAATTAAGGAATTTTTTTACTCGCTGAGTCACTGACTGATGGCAGATAAATTATAGGATTTCACAAACAATGCGCCCAACACTACTCTCTTTTTTTTTTCGGGCGAGGACGCCCAACACTACTGTTACTGTTTCAAAAAAAACACTACTGTTACTGAAGAACTAGGACCATGGTTAGGAAGGAATCTGAAATCCCCCCAAGAACTGAGAAGGAGCTCCAGCTCTTCACCTGAAAGGCCTTGGAGATAATGTCGTCGTGGAGGCAGACGTGGTTCCGGCAATGGCAGCAGCTGTACACCCGCGGCCCCACCAAGTCCGCCATCGTCAGCGCCCTTCCCTCCCCTCCCCTGCCTGCATCCAATCCACGAAATCAGGATGCCGTTTCACCCTCCCAAGAACTGGAGAAAACCAAACCAAAAGAACCCAGATCAAACCAAGAATCAGAAGTTCAGAACATACCGACCCAACGACTGCGGTCGGTCGATCCAGCGATCGATTCGATTCGATGAGAGGGGAGCTGGCACGGGGAAGAAGAGGACGGATCAGTTGATCGGCCGGGGCGCGGGAAGAACAGCAGCAGCACGCAAGTGACGGTGAGAGGGGCCACGAAGCCGAGAGCAGAGAAAGAGGGAGAGGCCCGCAAGAAAATAGGCGGCGCCGATGAATGCAAAAGGCGAACAAAACCCACAGGATTCAATTCAACCCCGCAAAGGTGAAAGTGGCTCTGGTTTGCTGGGAGGGGAAATTTGGCCCGGGGCTGGGTGGCGAAATCAAGGTGAGAACATTCTTGAGGTTGAGGGGAGGGGAGGAGGGGAACAGTGACGAGACCCGGTGGATGGAATGGAATCCGAGTAGGAAAGGGAGGAGGCTGACGGAGGGGATGATGGCGAGGTTTAGATTAGGATACAGAAATTGCTTTTTTTTTTGAGAATATGATACAGAAATTGCTGGTTAGTCGGGTTAATTAAGCGGTGTGGATTACGGAGTGTGGTTCATCATTGCGGGATTATTAGGGAACAAGAACATCAGCTGAAAGGTCAGTTGGAGTTTCATGGTTCCAAGACTCTAATGCGTTGTAAACGTGTGGATAATTAAACTCATTTCATCTTATACAGTTTTAATTATCTCTCTTCAATTTTTTGAGCAAAATCTCTCTTCGTTTATGCTACGTCGCGTTAACTAAATTAATGTCCATCTTATGAAATCTTCACTGCCCTAAAAAGAATGCTGATACTCTCTTCGTCCCTAAGTAAATCAATTTCTAGAATCCATATCAGTCAAACTATTTTAAATTTGACCAACTTTATAGAAGAGAGTAACAATATCTATGTCATAAAATAAACATCTTATAAAAATATATTCTATTGTAAATTTAATGATAATAATTTGATATCATAAGTCTTAATGTTTTTTTTTTAAAAATTTGGTCAAAGTTTAAAAAATTTGACTTAAGACAACTCTATGAATCTATTTATTCAGGGACAGATGGAGTACTAGCTTCCGTAGGATCATACTAGCGATTAAATAAATGGAAAGTAATATTGTTGGGATGTAGTCCTTGGCGCGTACCTTCATCCGGACGGACGAAGGTACCTTCACCAGGGTGAAGGGAAACCTAGGGAGCTAGTCCCACACAGGAGAATAGAGTGCGAAGAGAGAGAGCCCCTTCCCCTTTGCCCTTGGGTTCTATTTATAGGGGGAGGTGGGAGGATGCATCTTCCTCCCCACCCCTTTTAGTTCAAGAATTTATTTGAAGGTCCTCAGGCCTACTAGGCACTAGACCTTTTTACATGGCCGGCACAGCCGCCCCTACCCCCATAGAAGTCCCTTAGCCACTAGGTTTTGGTGGTACAACAAAGCCTAGTCGCTATATAATAGAAAAAGGTCCAAGAGTACAATTCCCTAGTCAATCCTAGGCTTCGATGGGTGTCCTCATAGCAGGAAGCGCTTCGACGATGAGGGTCGAAGGCCATGACATGACGATGATGACTTGTTGATTGCAGAGGTCGATGACTTATTAGCCCCTTCTTGACTTAGTTGCCGTGAGTGTCTCCACCTTACCGGGAGTAGCTCTCTATAACTGAAGTAGTCGTAGTAGCGCAAGCAGTCGTTCTAGCAGTCGCTGTTGTCGGACGTAGATGGACGCGGGAGTTGCCACCGAAGGTCGATGATGATGCATTTGTCGAGGTGGACATGGATGGAGTAGTTGTCATAGCCGGTAGGGATTGCCTCCTTCGGCTCATGAGCAGCGGGCAAGACATGTCCTCCGGGTTGAATTAGTCCCCCCAATGCACCCCCTTAGCCCCTCTTGGCTGGTGCTTATGAGCAGGCGAAGGCTTCATGTCGATGGTGTTGACGATGAACTTTGGGGGAGGTTCTTCACTTTGGCTAAGGGTGACGGCAGGGCGAAGTTGAAGTCACCATTGAAAGTAGTTGATGCTGAAGTTAGCCTAGCGGAGCCGAAGTTGACATCAAAGCAGACAAGTAAGGCGTGGTGATGTAGATGGTGCCGATAGTGCCGAAGGCGGGTGCGGATCTTCAAACCAAATGTGAGGTCAAGGTGCTGATGAAGTGTTGGTGAGGGTGAGGTCGATATTACCGAGGTCGATGGAGAGCCCCTTGCCAAAGTGTTGGTACCACCGAGGTCAGATGGCGAGCCTCTTGCCAAAGTATTGACAAAGGGTACGGTTGATGCCGCCGAGGTCGACAGCGAGCCCCTTAGTGAAGTGTGGCGAAGGTGCGGTTGATGTCGTCGAGGTCGATGGCGAGCCCCTTGTTGAAGTGTTGGCACCACCGGGGTCGATGGCGAGCCCATGGCCGAAGTGTTGGCGAGGGTGCGGTCAAAGTCACCGAGGTTGAAGGCGAGCCACTTGCCGATGTGTTGGTGAGGCTGCGGTTGATGTCACCGAGGTTGAAGGTGAGCCCGTTGCCAAAGTGTTGGCATCGTTGGTGTTGACAAAAGATGCTCGACAGTCCTCCGAGGGGTATCCCACGAAGGTAGATTGATCAGCAGAGGTGCGCGTAATCAAGAACAAGAAGGCAATAGAGATACAAGAGTTAGACAGGTTCGGGCCGTCAGCACGACATAATACCCTACTCCTGTGATCTGTTGGTTTGTATTGACGATCGTCTGATATGGTGTGTGTTCAGATGCCTTAGGCTGAGCCTAGGATCCGTATGGGGATATCGACTAGGGGACCCCTGCCCCTCCTTATATGCTTTGGAGGGGTAGGGTTACAAGGAAAGTATCATATTTGGTATTATACGATATCTTATTGTAGCCTTGCGGTGCACGTCGACCAGTGCCGTGCGCCACACGCCTTGATCTTGTGCGCTGGGCCACCTTTGTTGGTACGGTCCATGTCTTATCTTGTGGGTATCGGGGACCATACCCCCACAGCTAGTCCCCGAGCACCTTGTATCCTTTGAGCAACGCTGTCTTGAATAAGTCCGAGCAGTTTGACGTGAAGCTAACCAGTTTAACTGGTGATCCGAGCAGTGGAAGTCAAAGCCGACCAGTTTAACTGGTGACCTGGGCGGTGAAAATCAATACCGACTAGTTTAACTGGTGACCTGGGTGGTGAAAGTCAATGCTGACCAGTTTAACTAGTGACCTGGGCGGTGAAAGTCAATGCCAACTAGTTTAACTGGTGACCTGAGTAGTGGAAGTCAAAGCCGACCAGCTTAACTGGTTAGGAGACCTTAGACTTAGCCAAGTAAGGCTCGCTAGAAGGATGTAAGTGGCTCAAGATAAAATTTAAAAATTCTTCCACTTAGGAGAAGTGTAGCCACTTAGACTACGTCAATAAGGAGGGTAAATCAAGAAATAAGCACTACATTCACCGCCAGGTGAAGTGTAGCCACTTAGTCCCTGAGCCTGCTGAAAGATGAAGAATGAATCTTGTAGCAGGGTCAAAGAAAAGAAGTCTGAAAGCTTGCCGACGTTATCTGACATGCGCGTATCAAGATCCTAGACTTGCTGCCCAAGATTAGCACCCTAATCCAAATAGTATGGAGCAGTTTGACAGCACACCAATGAGACGTAGCAAGATCTGACCACCAAGGGAGTCCCTAGCTTAGCTGGCGACGCTTGCATGAAGAATCCGAGCACCGATGAGTCCTTAGCTTAGCT